GGGACGTCAATCGGATAGTGGAGCTGGAGTCTTGAATGCGAGTTTCTTGGATGCAGCACATATCGATGGCTAGGGTTTCGAGCGTACGAGCTAAACACGCACATTAAACGGGACTAGTTTGAAGGGACATCGGGGACGAAGAAGGGCTTCAGCTTGTGGAGGATTCGACGAGACTTGGATGCTAGTCGAGTTAGGACAAGAGTGAACAGCGACAGAATTTCTGCTCGAGGCCCTACTGTTAGTACGGTAGTCTGAAGAACCCGAGAGAGATGGGGGAGTGTTGGGGAGGGGAAGATGAGCTGGGGAGAGGACGAGAGGGTGTGTACGGTGTGGAATATTTCGTGCAATTTGGAAGAGCGTCAGAATGCATAGTTATAAGAGTAAGATTCATAGTTGTTTGCGGTGTTCAAACCTTAGACCATAGGGTTTAAAGCACACCCATGACAGCGACTTAAACCTTAGCATCACCAAAGCATTCATACAGAAGGTATAATTTCAGTCAAAACACAGGGACCAGGTACGCATTAGTCAAGTTTTGAAGCTATTAGGTTGTCAGAGAATAGGTTAATACAAACTATGGTGATCCGACAGAAAATTGCGGAATATCAGGCTTTAAATTGTTAACCGAGGTAAAACTTCAAGGTTATTGTTATCCAGTAGCAGAATCGAATGATAGAATATTTCAAGTGTGATGGGATAAATGGTTCAGCCCCCCGCCCCAATACCGTAGCAACAATACGGTCACGTCCCGGGAACTCACCCATTCAGATACTCCTTGATAGAATCAATTGTGAGGTCCCCTGCATGAGTCGCATCAACTACTCCATCGTGACCATTTTTCGCCCCTTCAATACTGCGATCTTGCCCAGGCGTGGTTTGTACGTCAGTGACTTTCTTCTGAGGTTCTATCACTTCCTATGGGGAAAAAATGACTGTGAGAGGAACTTCTTACCTCGACGACGGGCTCTGCTGCCTGTGTTGGAGCAGACTGGGCGTCCAGAGGAGCGGTAGCTTTCGTCTCTTCGACTGCCTCAGAAGGTAGGTCACCAGGACGAGCCCATTCTGGTAATGTGATGGTGAGGAATGGTGATTGACGACCCGGCAAACAACAGGACAGAGGAAGCAGTCGAGGAGCGGCAGACAACTCCTGCACAAACAACTGCGAGCCCATATGCCAGATAACAAGGTTGGCGTTTGAAAGAGAGGAAACGCAATGCATCGGATGGGCATCGGGTTCCACACATTTTCGCACTAAAGCAAGTTGGGGAAATGGAGATGAACACTCAAATTACTGTTTGCAGACAGCCGATTGCGACCTGGCCGTCTGATAGATCAATTTGAACAAGTTATTCTCGAAATAAACGTCTATAGAAACACATGTAGATAAATGATTGTTGTCTCTGTTTGAAAGATCGGCAATCAAGTGATAAGAGGATGGGTTCATGCGATAAGAAGAACAGATTTCTTCGAAGAATTATTGGAGTTTATCCATATA